CCAACAGTCAAAGGTATATGTTTCTGGAATTTGAATCAGTTTTACACGGCATCTGTCGTTTATGCTTATACTCAATAAATTAATTAGTGTTCTATTGATCTATGTTTTACCCAAAATAGAGCTTTGGAGGCCAGCAATAAACCTCGATACCATACAAGAAGAAAAAGTGAAAATGATGACAAATGGCCTTATGACGAATTTCGATTCGATTCGCCTCCATCGGCTACACTGCCCAGTGCCGTTTGTTCCCCAAATGAAATTCCAATTATTCGAAAAAAACCGCTGAGCGTAAATATTGATATTCAGTCCATCTCATTGTCACCTCCCGGATCAAGAACTGACGCTCTGTATCTAAGAGGCTGTCCATCTCTGTGAGTATTATATATTACGTTTTTGAATGAAATCAATCGATTATATTTAAAAAACACGCTCACACGCGTTTTAATTTCACGTCAATTAAACTAGAGTTAATTTCTTGGAGATATTAGCTCTTGAAAACGCACTTCCAGCTTCAAAACAACGGAAATCTTTCAAACTTGTTGAATTAATTAGTGTTCTATTGATAGCATACGAATAGACAAAAGTGAAATTGCTGAAAGAGCATTACCGTCATCAGTCAAAATACCTTAATGAAAATACTTGAAATTTAAAGCATTTGTGAGAACGGTTAGAGGCAGATTACGTTCTGGTCAGGTGGGATTGGCGGTCTCTAAATAAATATGTAAAGCAATTTTAGAAATACTAAAGTTATCAATTTTCTGAATAGTGCCAAGGCAAGTTATTTTTATCCTTAGTTTATTTCGCGATGCCTCACGTGTCGTGTTCTGAACAAGCGAACTGTGCAAAAATTGATACATAAATCAATAAGAAATTGGTTTGATTCGAAATCGACAGATTATTATGGCCAAATCATGGAGTGCGTGCTCATTCAACAAATTTAAGGATAATTAATTACGCCGAACTAGTGCTAGTTTTATGAAAGGTGACTGGAAGCAATGGAAAATTATTTTCTGTGTCCTGCAAATAGAACGATGCCCCTTTATGCGGACATTTACAATTTAGCAAATGTGCTTTTTTCAGTATTGTACTATTTCTCTATCACCGTCATTCCACTTATATTATATGTCTTATATAAAAGACACAAATCTAAATCGGTCTCCAAAAATATCATAACAGCACCCGTAATAGTAGTAGAGGAAGTTGTACAGCCCCCAATAGTTGAAGTGAGATTGTTCTGGTTTCCCAGAAAAACGATTTCATGCCCCAATACAAAATAGTAAGTTTTGTTTATCTCAAATGCATCTTTTAAGATTTGCCTAAACACTTGAAATCCAAAAATGAATTGACTGCAATATTTATTCGTCAAATATTACCTGGAACAATTTGTGCCTTAAACAGCTCTTGATAACAAAAAACAATCTATTTATCGCAGGTTTTACGTAATCGTTAATCAACTTTTTTTTCAGTTCGTCCAGCAAGGACGTAAGTTTATTAGATTTAGATGACATTAAGAAATTAAGATACATTGAAAACAGAGAAAGCCAAGAAGATGAAGCTGAGTATGAGGCCGGTGGTTATATGCCCATCAATACAGGCGATGTCTTAAAAAACCAGTATAAAGTATGCAGGAAACTTGGTTGGGGACATTTCTCTACTGTATGGTTATGTAAAAATTCATATAAAAAGTAAGTTTTTACTTAAAAAAAAAATAAACAATAAAGGGTTATTCAAATGTCCCGCACGTCCAGCTCCCAAAAGAAAGTTGGTGAGCTACAGATGCACTTGAGCAAGTATCTCAATCAACTTGCGGTTTTCTAAAAAATCGTGCCAAATATTTTTTACTCTTTTTAACTCTATTGAAAAATGCGACATTCAAATCCAACAGTGTACCATCTAAAACTATATCAAGATCTTTTCTACAGTAAGAAAATATACAATTTTTGAAACAAAATATGCAACAGAATGATTCTTTTAGTGGTCCTAAATACGTGGCGTTAAAAATATGTAAATCTGCCCCAATGTTTACGGCGGTGGCAAATGATGAAATACGGCTTCTCCAGGAAACTCGAACAGTGAATCCTAACCATGTGGGCTATAAAAACATAGTCCAAATGGTAGATACGTTCAAGTTAATTAGCGAAAATGGGGTGCACAATGCAATTTCCTTAGAAATAATGGGACCAAGCTTACTACATCTTCTTATGCAAAGTGACTTTCGGGGAATACAAGTGGCTGCTGTTCGTAGAATAATTTTCCAGGTAACCGATTAGTTGCAGATATTAGAGCCTGTTTTATCAGCTAATAATCGAAATTTAGGTGCTACGAGGCTTAACGTACCTTCACGAAGAATGCCACATCATTCATACGGATATAAAGCCTGAAAATATTTTAATAAAAGTCGACGAAAACTACATAAAAAAATTGATTGGTCAAATGGAGCGCTTTTCGGAAATGGGAGTGGACTTGCCACGTTCTTATGGTAGAATTTTCAAGTTTCCGTTGTACTGCTTTTGTTAACTTAATTCGTATTATACTGTAGTCAGTTCAGAGTTTTGGACGAAACAGGAAAGCAGCCTCCACGACTCAGAAGAGGACATAATTCCCCGTTTCGGCGAACATAGAGCGTCTTCGTATCCAGGAAACATGTACTTCAGTGAAATGACGAATTACAGAGAACGTCATAGTCAAACAGATTTCAGCACCCCCATGTGGGTTAGTCCTAATATTGAAATAAAAATTGCCGACCTGGGCAATGCTTGCTGGGTGGTACGTGACAACGATTCCAAGCCTTAAAAGTCTAACAAGTCTCTTGCAGGATCATCATTTCTCACCAGAAATTCAGACCAGGCAATATCGAGCACTGGAAGTCATATTGGGAGCTGGTTATAGTTATCCAGCGGATTTATGGTCCATTGGATGTTTAGCATTTGAGTTGGCTACCGGAGAAATGCTGTTCAGTCCCAAAGGATCCAGTGAACATTCGGCAAATATTGATCATCTTTGCTTAATTTGGGAGACACTAGGAGGCATTCCAAAATATATTACTGAGACTGGTACCGAGTTTAAAAAGTACTTTGCGAATGGTGAGGTTTTTAAATGCAATAACACGGTTGGTCCAGAATGGATTGCTTTTTTAGGGCACTTAAAAGACGTACCAGCTGATAATCTGAGAATCTGGAAGATTGAGGACGTGTTAGTAGAAAAATATAAATGGAAACGGCTAGATGCCATTCCCTTTGCCAGTTTTCTGTCAAGTCTAGTAGAACCAGACCCTGCCCTTCGAGCTACCTCAAGCCAAGCGCTTAACAACGAATGGTTACTGTCAACGGACATTTAAAATATTATCTAATTGTAGTCGAGTTTTGGATACGTACTTTCAAACCTGCAATCATCATATAAACGTGGCCATTTTCCCTATAGCATAATTCGTATAATACATGTACTTGTAAAATTGAATCTTTTTACATGTCTGTGTTTGGAATACTTAATTAAACGTTTAACAAGAGTTTATTATTATTTATTTATGCCCCAGT